AGCAACCCGGGACAAGGGGTGCTACTGAGGGTTGGAAGCATATTTTTTGAAATATCTCAAAATCTGCTCGTTTCTACAGATTTATATTTGAACCACAGTTAACTTAGGTACTAATTCAATTTTAAAAAAATATTTCATCCCCAGCAACCCGGGGCAAGGGGTGCAACTGGAGGTTGGAAGCATATTTTTTGAATTATTTTGAAATATCTCGAAATCTGCTCGTTTCTACAGATTTATATTTGAACCACAGTTAACTTAGGTACTAATTCAATTTTAAAAAAATATTTCATTCCCAGCAACCCGGGACAAGGGGTGCTACTGAGGGTTGGAAGCATATTTTTTGAAATATCTCAAAATCTGCTCGTTTCTACAGATTTATATTTGAACCACAGTTAACTTAGGTACTAATTCAATTTTAAAAAAATATTTCATCCCCAGCAACCCGGGACAAGGGGTGCTACTGAGGGTTGGAAGCATATTTTTTGAATTATTTTGAAATATCTCGAAATCTGCTCGTTTCTACAGATTTATATTTGAACCACAGTTAACTTAGGTACTAATTCAATTTTAAAAAAATATTTCATCCCCAGCAACCCGGGGCAAGGGGTGCAACTGGAGGTTGGAAGCATATTTTTTGAATTATTTTGAAATATCTCGAAATCTGCTCGTTTCTACAGATTTATATTTGAACCACAGTTAACTTAGGTACTAATTCAATTTTAAAAAAATATTTCATCCCCAGCAACCCGGAACAAGGGGTGCAACTGGAGGTTGGAAGCATATTTTTTGAATTATTTTGAAATATTTCAAAATCTGCTGGTTTCTACAGATTTATATTTGAACCACAGTTAACTTAGGTACTAATTCAATTTTAAAAAAATATTTCATCCCCAGCAACCCGGGGCAAGGGGTGCAACTGGAGGTTGGAAGCATATTTTTTGAATTATTTTGAAATATCTCGAAATCTGCTCGTTTCTACAGATTTATATTTGAACCACAGTTAACTTAGGTACTAATTCAATTTTAAAAAAAATATTTCATTCCCAGCAACCCGGGACAAGGGGTGCTACTGAGGGTTGGAAGCATATTTTTTGAAATATCTCAAAATCTGCTCGTTTCTACAGATTTATATTTGAACCACAGTTAACTTAGGTACTAATTCAATTTTAAAAAAATATTTCATTCCCAGCAACCCGGGACAAGGGGTGCTACTGAGGGTTGGAAGCATATTTTTTGAAATATCTCAAAATCTGCTCGTTTCTACAGATTTATATTTGAACCACAGTTAACTTAGGTACTATTCAATTTTAAAAAAATATTTCATTCCCAGCAACCCGGGACAAGGGGTGCTACTGAGGGTTGGAAGCATATTTTTTGAAATATCTCAAAATCTGCTCGTTTCTACAGATTTATATTTGAACCACAGTTTAACTTAGGTACTAATTCAATTTTAAAAAAATATTTCATTCCCAGCAACCCGGGACAAGGGGTGCTACTGAGGGTTGGAAGCATATTTTTTGAAATATCTCGAAATCTGCTCGTTTCTACAGATTTATATTTGAAACCACAGTTAACTTAGGTACTAATTCAATTTTAAAAAAATATTTCATCCCCAGCAACCCGGGGCAAGGGGTGCAACTGGAGGTTGGAAGCATATTTTTTGAATTATTTTTGAAATATCTCGAAATCTGCTCGTTTCTACAGATTTATATTTGAACCACAGTTAACTTAGGTTACTAATTCAATTTAAAAAAATATTTCATCCCCAGCAACCCGGGACAAGGGGTGCTACTGAGGGTTGGAAGCATATTTTTTGAATTATTTTGAAATATCTCGAAATCTGCTCGTTTCTACAGATTTATATTTGAACCACAGTTAACTTAGGTACTAATTCAATTTTAAAAAAATATTTCATCCCCAGCAACCCGGGACAAGGGGTGCTACTGAGGGTTGGAAGCATATTTTTGAATTATTTTGAAATATCTCGAAATCTGCTCGTTTCTACAGATTTATATTTGAACCACAGTTAACTTAGGTACTAATTCAATTTTAAAAAAATATTTCATCCCCAGCAAACCCGGGGCAAGGGGTGCTACTGGAGGTTGGAAGCATATTTTTTGAATTATTTTGAAATATCTCGAATCTGCTCGTTTCTACAGATTTATATTTGAACCACAGTTAACTTAGGTACTAATTCAATTTTAAAAAAATATTTCATCCCCAGCAACCCGGGACAAGGGGTGCTACTGAGGGTTGGAAGCATATTTTTTGAATTATTTTGAAATATCTCGAAATCTGCTCGTTTCTACAGATTTATATTTGAACCACAGTTAACTTAGGTACTAATTCAATTTTAAAAAAATATTTTCATCCCCAGCAACCCGGAACAAAGGGTGCAACTGGAGGTTGGAAGCATATTTTTTGAATTATTTTGAAATATTTCAAAATCTGCTGGTTTCTACAGATTTATATTTGAACCACAGTTAACTTAGGTACTAATTCAATTTTAAAAAAATATTTCATCCCCAGCAACCCGGGGCAAGGGTGCAACTGGAGGTTGGAAGCATATTTTTTGAATTATTTTGAAATATCTCGAAATCTGCTCGTTTCTACAGATTTATATTTGAACCACAGTTAACTTTAGGTACTAATTCAAATTTTAAAAAAATATTTCATTCCCAGCAACCTGGGACAAGGGGTGCTACTGAGGGTTGGAAGCATATTTTTTGAATTATTTTTGAAATATCTCGAAATCTGCTCGTTTCTACAGATTTATATTTGAACCACAGTTAACTTAGGTACTAATTCAATTTTAAAAAAATATTTCATTCCCAGCAAACCCGGGGACAAGGGGTGCTACTGAGGGTTGGAAGCATATTTTTTGAAATATCTCAAAATCTGCTCGTTTCTACAGATTTATATTTGAATCACAGTTAACTTAGGTACTAATTCAATTTTAAAAAAATATTTCATCCCCAGCAACCCGGGACAAGGGGTGCTACTGAGGGTTGGAAGCATATTTTTTGAATTATTTTGAAAGATCTCGAAATCTGCTCGTTTCTACAGATTTATATTTGAACCACAGTTAACTTAGGTACTAATTCAATTTTAAAAAAATATTTCATCCCCAGCAACCCGGAACAAAGGGTGCAACTGGAGGTTGGAAGCATATTTTTTGAATTATTTTGAAATATTTCAAAATCTGCTGGTTTCTACAGATTTATATTTGAACCACAGTTAACTTAGGTACTAATTCAATTTTAAAAAAATATTTCATCCCCAGCAACCCGGGGCAAGGGGTGCAACTGGAGGTTGGAAGCATATTTTTTGAATTATTTTGAAATATTCTCAAAATCTGCTCGTTTCTACAGATTTATATTTGAACCACAGTTAACTTAGGTACTAATTCAATTTTAAAAAAATATTTCATTCCCAGCAACCCGGGACAAGGGGGTGCTACTGAGGGTTGGAAGCATATTTTTTGAAATATCTCAAAATCTGCTCGTTTCTACAGATTTATATTTGAACCACAGTTAACTTAGGTACTAATTCAATTTTAAAAAAATATTTCATCCCCAGCAACCCGGGGCAAGGGGTGCAACTGGAGGTTGGAAGCATATTTTTTGAATTATTTTGAAATATCTCGAAATCTGCTCGTTTCTACAGATTTATATATGAACCACAGTTAACTTAGGTACTAATTCAATTTAAAAAAATATTTCATTCCCAGCAACCTGGGACAAGGGGTGCTACTGAGGGTTGGAAGCATATTTTTTGAAATATCTCAAAATCTGCTCGTTTCTACAGATTTATATTTGAACCACAGTTAACTTAGGTACTAATTCAATTTTTAAAAAAATATTTCATCCCCAGCAACCCGGGGCAAGGGGTGCAACTGGAGGTTGGAAGCATATTTTTTGAATTATTTTGAAATATCTCGAAATCTGCTCGTTTCTACAGATTTATATTTGAACCACAGTTAACTTAGGTACTAATTCAATTTTAAAAAAATATTTCATTCCCAGCAACCCGGGACAAGGGGTGCTACTGAGGGTTGGAAGCATAATTTTTGAAATATCTCAAAATCTGCTCGTTTTCTACAGATTTATATTTGAACCACAGTTAACTTAGGTACTAATTCAATTTTTAAAAAATATTTCATCCCCAGCAACCGGGGCAAGGGGTGCAACTGGAGGTTGGAAGCATATTTTTTTGAATTATTTTGAAATATTTCAAAATCTGCTGGTTTCTACAGATTTATATTTGAACCACAGTTAACTTAGGTACTAATTCAATTTTAAAAAAATATTTCATCCCCAGCAACCTGGGACCAAGGGGGTGCTACTGAGGGTTGGAAGCATATTTTTTGAAATATCTCAAAATCTGCTCGTTTCTACAGATTTATATTTGAACCACAGTTAACTTAGGTACTAATTCAATTTTAAAAAATATTTCATCCCCAGCAACCCGGGGCAAGGGGTGCAACTGGAGGTTGGAAGCATATTTTTTGAATTATTTTGAAATATTTCAAAATCTGCTGGTTTCTACAGATTTATATTTGAACCACAGTTAACTTAGGTACTAATTCAATTTTAAAAAAATATTTCATCCCCAGCAACCCGGGGCAAGGGGTGCAACTGGAGGTTGGAAGCATATTTTTTGAATTATTTTGAAATATCTCAAAATCTGCTCGTTTCTACAGATTTATATTTGAACCACAGTTAACTTAGGTACTAATTCAATTTTAAAAAAATATTTCATTCCCAGCAACCCGGGACAAGGGGTGCTACTGAGGGTTGGAAGCATATTTTTTGAAATATCTCAAAATCTGCTCGTTTCTACAGATTTATATTTGAACCACAGTTAACTTAGGTACTAAATTCAATTTTAAAAAAATATTTCATCCCCAGCAACCCGGGGCAAGGGGTGCAACTGGAGGTTGGAAGCATATTTTTTGAATTATTTTGAAATATCTCGAAATCTGCTCGATTTCTACAGATTTATATTTGAACCACAGTTAACTTAGGTACTAATTCAATTTTAAAAAAATATTTCATTCCCAGCAACCTGGGACAAAGGGGTGCTACTGAGGGTTGGAAGCATATTTTTTGAAATATCTCAAAATCTGCTCGTTTCTACAGATTTATATTTGAACCACAGTTTAACTTAGGTACTAATTCAATTTTAAAAAAATATTTCATCCCCAGCAACCCGGGACAAGGGGTGCTACTGAGGGTTGGAAGCATATTTTTTGAATTATTTTGAAATATCTCGAAATCTGCTCGTTTCTACAGATTTATATTTGAACCACAGTTAACTTAGGTACTAATTCAATTTTAAAAAAATATTTCATCCCCAGCAACCCGGGGCAAGGGGTGCAACTGGGAGGTTGGAAGCATATTTTTTGAATTATTTTGAAATATCTCGAAATCTGCTCGTTTCTACAGATTTATATTTGAACCACAGTTAACTTAGGTACTAATTCAATTTTAAAAAAATATTTCATCCCCAGCAACCCGGGGCAAGGGGGTGCAACTGGAGGTTGGAAGCATATTTTTTGAATTATTTTGAAATATCTCGAAATCTGCTCGTTTCTACAGATTTATATTTGAACCACAGTTAACTTAGGTACTAATTCAATTTTAAAAAAATATTTCATTCCCAGCAACCTGGGACAAGGGGTGCTACTGAGGGTTGGAAGCATATTTTTTGAAATATCTCAAAACTCTGCTCGTTTCTACAGATTTATATTTGAACCACAGTTAACTTAGGTACTAATTCAATTTAAAAAAATATTTCATTCCCAGCAACCTGGGACAAGGGGTGCTACTGAGGGTTGGAAGCATATTTTTTTGAAATATCTCAAAATCTGCTCGTTTCTACAGATTTATATTTGAACCACAGTTAACTTAGGTACTAATTCAATTTTTAAAAATATTTCATCCCCAGCAACCCGGGGCAAGGGGTGCAACTGGAGGTTGGAAGCATATTTTTTGAATTATTTTGAAATATCTCGAAATCTGCTCGTTTCTACAGATTTTATATTTGAACCACAGTTAACTTAGGTACTAATTCAATTTTTAAAAAAATATTTCATCCCCAGCAACCCGGAACAAGGGGTGCAACTGGAGGTTGGAAGCATATTTTTTTGAATTATTTTGAAATATTTCAAAATCTGCTGTTTCTACAGCTTTATATTTGAACCACAGTTAACTTAGGTACTAATTCAATTTAAAAAAAATATTTCATCCCCAGGCAACCCGGGGCAAGGGGTGCAACTGGAGGTTGGAAGCATATTTTTTGAATTATTTTGAAATATCTCGAAATCTGCTCGTTTCTCTACAGATTTATATTTGAACCACAGTTAACTTAGGTACTAATTCAATTTTAAAAAAATATTTCATTCCCAGCAACCTGGGACAAGGGGTGCTACTGAGGGTTGGAAGCATATATTTTTTGAAATATCTCAAAATCTGCTCGTTTCTACAGATTTATATTTGAACCACAGTTAACTTAGGTACTAATTCAATTTTAAAAAAATATTTCATCCCCAGCAACCCGGGGCAAGGGGTGCAACTGGAGGTTGGAAGCATATTTTTTGAATTATTTTGAAATATCTCGAAATCTGCTCGTTTCTACAGATTTATATTTGAAACCACAGTTAACCTTAGGGTACTAATTCAATTTTAAAAAAATAATTTCATTCCCAGCAACCTGGGACATAGGGGTGCTAATCTCAAAATCTGCTCGTTTCTACAGATTTATATTTGAACCACAGTTAACTTAGGTACTAATTCAATTTTTAAAAAATATTTCATCCCCAGCAACCCGGGACAAGGGGTGCTACTGAGGGTTGGAAGCATATTTTTTGAATTATTTTGAAATATCTCGAAATCTGCTCGTTTCTACAGATTTATATTTGAACCACAGTTAACTTAGGTACTAATTCAATTTTAAAAAAATATTTCATCCCCAGCAACCCGGGGCAAGGGGTGCAACTGGAGGTTGGAAGCATATTTTTTGAATTATTTTGAAATATCTCGAAATCTGCTCGTTTCTACAGATTTATATTTGAACCACAGTTAACTTAGGTACTAATTCAATTTTAAAAAAATATTTCATTCCCAGCAACCCGGGACAAGGGGTGCTACTGAGGGTTGGAAGCATATTTTTTGAAATATCTCAAAATCTGCTCGTTTCTACAGATTTATATTTGAACCACAGTTAACTTAGGTACTAATTCAATTTTAAAAAATATTCATCCCCAGCAACCCGGGGCAAGGGGTGCAACTGGAGGTTGGAAGCATATTTTTTGAATTATTTTGAAATATCTCGAAATCTGCTCGTTTCTACAGATTTATATTTGAACCACAGTTAACTTAGGTACTAATTCAATTTTAAAAAAATATTTCATTCCCAGCAACCCGGGACAAGGGGTGCTACTGAGGGTTGGAAGCATATTTTTTGAAATATCTCAAAATCTGCTCGTTTCTACAGATTTATATTTGAACCACAGTTAACTTAGGTACTAATTCAATTTTAAAAAAATATTTCATCCCCAGCAACCCGGGACAAGGGGTGCTACTGAGGGTTGGAAGCATATTTTTTGAATTATTTTGAAATATCTCGAAATCTGCTCGTTTCTACAGATTTATATTTGAACCACAGTTAACTTAGGTACTAATTCAATTTTAAAAAAATATTTCATCCCCAGCAACCCGGGGCAAGGGGTGCAACTGGAGGTTGGAAGCATATTTTTTGAATTATTTTGAAATATCTCGAAATCTGCTCGTTTCTACAGATTTATATTTGAACCACAGTTAACTTAGGTACTAATTCAATTTTAAAAAAATATTTCATCCCCAGCAACCCGGAACAAGGGGTGCAACTGGAGGTTGGAAGCATATTTTTTGAATTATTTTGAAATATTTCAAAATCTGCTGGTTTCTACAGATTTATATTTGAACCACAGTTAACTTAGGTACTAATTCAATTTTAAAAAAATATTTCATCCCCAGCAACCCGGGGCAAGGGGTTGCAACTGGAGGTTGGAAGCATATTTTTTGAATTATTTTGAAATATCTCGAAATCTGCTCGTTTCTACAGATTTATATTTGAACCACAGTTAACTTAGGTACTAATTCAATTTTAAAAAAAATATTTCATTCCCAGCAACCCGGGACAAGGGGTGCTACTGAGGGTTGGAAGCATATTTTTTGAAATATCTCAAAATCTGCTCGTTTCTACAGATTTATATTTGAACCACAGTTAACTTAGGTACTAATTCAATTTTAAAAAAATATTTCATTCCCAGCAACCCGGGACAAGGGGTGCTACTGAGGGTTGGAAGCATATTTTTTGAAATATCTCAAAATCTGCTCGTTTCTACAGATTTATATTTGAACCACAGTTAACTTAGGTACTAATTCAATTTTAAAAAAATATTTCATTCCCAGCAACCCGGGACAAGGGGTGCTACTGAGGGTTGGAAGCATATTTTTTGAAATATCTCAAAATCTGCTCGTTTCTACAGATTTATATTTGAACCACAGTTAACTTAGGTACTAATTCAATTTTAAAAAAATATTTCATTCCCAGCAACCCGGGACAAGGGGTGCTACTGAGGGTTGGAAGCATATTTTTTGAAATATCTCGAAATCTGCTCGTTTCTACAGATTTATATTTGAACCACAGTTAACTTAGGTACTAATTCAATTTTAAAAAAATATTTCATCCCCAGCAACCCGGGGCAAGGGGTGCAACTGGAGGTTGGAAGCATATTTTTTGAATTATTTTGAAATATCTCGAAATCTGCTCGTTTCTACAGATTTATATTTGAACCACAGTTAACTTAGGTACTAATTCAATTTTAAAAAAATATTTCATCCCCAGCAACCCGGGACAAGGGGTGCTACTGAGGGTTGGAAGCATATTTTTTGAATTATTTTGAAATATCTCGAAATCTGCTCGTTTCTACAGATTTATATTTGAACCACAGTTAACTTAGGTACTAATTCAATTTTAAAAAAATATTTCATCCCCAGCAACCCGGGACAAGGGGTGCTACTGAGGGTTGGAAGCATATTTTTTGAATTATTTTGAAATATCTCGAAATCTGCTCGTTTCTACAGATTTATATTTGAACCACAGTTAACTTAGGTACTAATTCAATTTTAAAAAAATATTTCATCCCCAGCAACCCGGGGCAAGGGGTGCAACTGGAGGTTGGAAGCATATTTTTTGAATTATTTTGAAATATCTCGAAATCTGCTCGTTTCTACAGATTTATATTTGAACCACAGTTAACTTAGGTACTAATTCAATTTTAAAAAAATATTTCATCCCCAGCAACCCGGGACAAGGGGTGCTACTGAGGGTTGGAAGCATATTTTTTGAATTATTTGAAATATCTCGAAATCTGCTCGTTTCTACAGATTTATATTTGAACCACAGTTAACTTAGGTACTAATTCAATTTTAAAAAAATATTTCATCCCCAGCAACCCGGAACAAAGGGTGCAACTGGAGGTTGGAAGCATATTTTTTGAATTATTTTGAAATATTTCAAAATCTGCTGGTTTCTACAGATTTATATTTGAACCACAGTTAACTTAGGTACTAATTCAATTTTAAAAAAATATTTCATCCCCAGCAACCCGGGGCAAGGGGTGCAACTGGAGGTTGGAAGCATATTTTTTGAATTATTTTGAAATATCTCGAAATCTGCTCGTTTCTACAGATTTATATTTGAACCACAGTTAACTTAGGTACTAATTCAATTTTAAAAAAATATTTCATTCCCAGCAACCTGGGACAAGGGGTGCTACTGAGGGTTGGAAGCATATTTTTTGAATTATTTTGAAATATCTCGAAATCTGCTCGTTTCTACAGATTTATATTTGAACCACAGTTAACTTAGGTACTAATTCAATTTTAAAAAAAATATTTCATTCCCAGCAACCCGGGACAAGGGGTGCTACTGAGGGTTGGAAGCATATTTTTTGAAATATCTCAAAATCTGCTCGTTTCTACAGATTTATATTTGAATCACAGTTAACTTAGGTACTAATTCAATTTTAAAAAAATATTTCATCCCCAGCAACCCGGGACAAGGGGTGCTACTGAGGGTTGGAAGCATATTTTTTGAATTATTTTGAAAGATCTCGAAATCTGCTCGTTTCTACAGATTTATATTTGAACCACAGTTAACTTAGGTACTAATTCAATTTTAAAAAAAATATTTCATC